CAAATGTTCATAGCAGCTCTATTCCTAAGAGTCCCAAAATAGAAACCACCCAGATTGCTTCAATGGGTGAATGGTTTAAAAAACTGAAGTATATCCATACCACGAAATACTACTCAGCAATAAAAAGGAATGAGCTATTGATATACCCAACTTGGATGAATCTCAAGGGTCTTATGCTGAGTGAAAAAACTCAGTATTCCAGAGTTTCATACTGTATGCTTCCAATTGTGCAACATGTTTGAAATAACAAAATTATAGAGATGGAACAGAAATTTGTGGCTGTCAGATGTTAGGGACAGGGGCAAGAGGCAGCAGGAGTGGAAGTAGGCAAGGTTTCAAAAGGGCAACTCTTAAGGAATCTTTCTGGTGATGGAACTGTTCTGTATCTTGATTGAGGTGGTGGATCCACAAACCTATATATGTGATAAAATTGCATAGAGCTAAATACACACATTCATAAATGAGTACTGCATATGCATAACTAGGGAAATCTGAATTAGATTGGTGGATTACATTAATGCCAATTTTCTGGTTGTGATATTAAACTATTATTTTAGAAGATGTTATTAATAAGGAAAACTGGATAAAGGATACATGTGCTCGTGTACAAATGCATATGAGTCTATAATTATCTCAAAGTTTTAAAATTTTAACTAAAACTTTGGAAAAAATGTAACTTAAGGGTTGAAGAGTCTCTTGAGCAAGTGATGAATCGAGGATTCATTAGAGAAAAAAGATACATTCACTTACATAAAATTAATAATTTTAGAGGGCAAAATGTAACAGTCAAAAGTAATCGATTAGTTAATAAAAAGATAAATAAAATCTATAATACAGAGGATGCTAATTTGTATAATAGAATTTTTTTTTTTTTTTTTGAGACAGAGTCTCACTTTGTTGCCCAGGCTAGAGTGAGTGCCGTGGCGTCAGCCTAGCTCACAGCAACCTCAAACTCCTGGGCTCAAGCAATCCTCCTGCCTCAGCCTCCTGAGTAGCTGGGACTACAGGCATGCGCCACCATGCCCAGCTAATTTTTTTTCTAGATATGTTAGTTAGCCAATTAATTTCTTTCTATTTCTAGTAGAGACGGGGTCTTGCTCTTGCTCAGGCTGGTTTTGAACTCCTGACCTAGAGCAATCCACCTGCCTTGGCCTCCCAGAGAGCTAGGATTACAGGCATGAGCCACTACGCCCGGCCTAATAGAATTCTTAAAGTTGATTTTTTTATAAAGCCAACCCAATTTTAAAACTGTGTAAAGGGTATGAATAATCCATTCACAGATTAACAAAATTAAAATGCCCAGGAAGCATATAAGAAGGTGCTCATTCGCATTAATAGAAAAATACAAATTAAAGCTAAACTCTGATCCCCTTTCTTACACTCTTATGATTGGCAAAAAGTGTCAAGTGTGATAATATTTAGCTCTGAAGTAGATGTGGGGCTTGGTGAAAACAAGTATCACTACATGTGGGTGTGTGTGAATAAAAAAATCTGGTAATGTTATACTCTGAAACTATAGAGACTCTTCTACCCAGCAACCTATGACTGGGACTTTTTCCAAAAGAAGTAAGAATGTTTATTGTAATCTTGTGAGTAGTAAAAAAAACAAAGTAGAAACAAAGTAAATGTTAATAAGTAGGGAAATGATTGAATTAAATTGAGGTATAACAATACCATGGGATATTTTGTGGCTATTAAAAACAGTGAGCACTTTACCTAGCTCTTGTGAAAAAAATAAAAAACAAAAAAGAGTGTGCACTTTATCAGTGGAGTTAGAGGAATTGCCAAGAGAGCAAAGCAAGTTGCAGATACAACTCAGGTTATAATAATAGCTACCTGGGATTTCCTAAAAACAGGAATAGCTGTAGCAAAACATTTGTAATCTCTTGGTTTACAGACCAAATGAGAAGCTTCAAGTATAGGAAATGTCTGATTTACAATGGTTGGTTCAGCACATACTCATATGTCTACTCTCCTAGAAAATGATTCTCACCCCTAGATAAATTATATGGCATAACTGATATTTGGCATTTGGCTAATTATATGGCATAACTCATAATATTTATGAAACATGCCACTCTGCTGGTGTTGGACTTCCTGTGGCAGACCTTGGGAAATCCAATTACTAGCTGTGTGACCCTGAGCTAGATATGTATATAACCTCTCATGGATAAAATGGGGACAGCAGCAGTACCTATCTCATGGGATTGTTCTGATGATTAAATGGGTTAATACATGTAACATGCTTAGAATTATGCCTGTAAGTGCCTGTGAACAGTATACTTAGAGAATAGAATTGTGTCTGTGTACAGTAAGTATTTAATAAATATTGACATCTATTTATTATTATTTACATCCAGACTATTAAAATAGGCTCTTTACTCAATCTCCTTGTAGTAATCTCTCCTTCTTTCAGTCTACTGTCATACCTGGTAGGGTCTGTGTAATGACGATGATATCATCAAAGGAAAAAAGAGCAGCAGCTACAGACTCCTGGGAAGACGCTGGATCCCTACGGCAAAGCCCTGCTTTGTCTCACTGTCTATTTAACTGATACCCTTTCCTTTCTATTTCCTATTTTGAGGACAGTTTTATAGGGTTTATAATATATACAGTATAATAAAAGAAAGAAAGGACCCTGAGGGTGAAGCATGAAGGGAAGGGGTATAACTCCAATTCAACAAACAGGAACTGATAAGGAGAAGGATAGTACAAATGATCTATAACATAAGCTCCTGAAGTGGGAATCGGGGGGGGGGTTTAGGAAAGCCCAACAGAGGTGAGGTCTGCAACTTTAAAACTTTTTCCCATGCTCCTGATCTCCTAGGCAACCATGACCCCCACCCTCTGGGATGTATTATGAGATTAGCATAGTGGTTTCCCGGATGGAACTGGGAAAAGTTCTTGTGTTGCATGTCTGACTCTTCCTGGGTGGTCTATGTGGGCGGATTTGCTCTTTGAATGTATACAGGAACAAAAATTTACCCTTCCCTCTATTCATCTTAGTTTTAGCCTGTACCAATGTCCTGAAGGTCAAGGGACCCACAGTATGACGGACAAAAAAAAGTTTCTTGGTCTTTAAAAACTAAAGAAAAGGCCATACATGGTGGCTCACGCCTGTCATCCTAGCACTCTGGGAGTCCAAGGCAGGAGGATCACTTGAGGTCAGGAGTTGGAGATCAGCCTGAGCAAGAGCTAGACCCCATTTCTACTAAAAATAGAAAAAATTAGCCAGGTGTGGGCACACATGCCAGTAGTCCCGGCTCCTCTGGAGGCTGAGGCAGGAAAATTGCTTGAGCCCAGGAATTGAAGGCTGCAGTGAGCTATGATGGTGATGCCATGGCACTCTAGCCAGGGCAAAAGAGTGAGACTCTGTCTCCGCGTCCCCCCACCCGCAAAAAAAAAAAATCTGTTTTCTGCAGATGGCTGAAGTGCTTAGAGTGGAAGGCCCTATTCTTCATCCTGGCCAGTGTTGACTATTGCATTTATTAAAATCTTTTGTAATCCCATAAATAATAAAGTATTATCATGTCACTGTCTTTTAAAAAATTACTTCTGAAATTAAACATTTTCTCCCACTTTTTTTATATTTGGCTTTTTCATTGAAATATCTATTTGTGTCCTTTATTTTTCTACTGGAGTTTTATGTTCTAAATAACTTTATTATCTCTTCTTTTTTTTTTGAGACAGTCTCGCTTTGTTGCCCAGGCTAGAGTGAGTGCCGTGGCGTCAGCCTAGCTCACAGCAACCTCAAACTCCTGGGCTCAAGCAATCCTACTGCCTCAGCCTCCCGAGTAGCTGGGACTACAGGCATGCGCCACCATGCCCGGCTCATTTTTTCTATATATATTAGTTGGCCAATTAATTTCTTTCTATTTATAGTAGAGACGGGGTCTCGCTCTTGCTCAGGCTGGTTTTGAACTCCTGACCTCGAGCAATCCGCCCGCCTCAGCCTCCCAGAGAGCTAGGATTACAGGCGTGAGCCACCGCGCCTGGCCTATTATCTCTTCTTCATCAAACTAATATGTCATCATTGTTGAGAATTTGGAAAATTCACAAATGCATGAGCTATGGGAAAAAATAACTCATGACCAGTCACTATTATTTTGTTGGATTTTTATGGTGTTTTTCCAGTATTTTCTCTATTTACAGGTAGTTCAGATAATTATCCATACATGGACCCACATCCAAAATGAAGTAGTGGTCATATTTTATAGATTTCTAAGTAATGTTTTGAATTAATGAACATTTTTCATGTCATGAAAAATTCTTCCAGAACAGTATTTCTTAATCGTTGTCAAATAATTCACCTACCAAAGATCCATATACTATCATTTATTTACTCACTCTCTCATTACACATTTAGCTCTTTATATTTCCCTATTATTAATAAAGTACAATGACTATCTTTGTATATAATTCTTTGGGCGTGTACTTTAATTTGTAAACTTAGCTATATAAAAAGGATATTAACTATCGTGCATATTGCAAACATTTTTCAATTTTATCATTTTCTTACTGAAATTTACTGAAAAGGTAATATGTTACATATATTAAAAACCAAAAATAAAGGAAGGTATAAAGTGAAAAGTATCCCTCTCAACTTAATCTCCCATCTGCCCAGTTCCCACCCACTATCCTCACACACACAGTTAACTACTGTTACTCATTTCTTCTGTTAACTTTAAGTGTGTGTGTTCAAATAAGGAGATAACCTCCCTCTCCCCATTTTCCATATAATAATATGTACTATACAATATGCACTTTTCTTAACATTTTCCAAGTCACTTAACAATATATCTTTACATTTAATGCAATGGACTGGGGAAAAAAAACAATATATTCTGTATCTGGTCTTTCTATGTCAGTATATAAAACACACACACACGCTTTCATGCTCTTCACTATTGGGAATCTTCAAGATGATACTGTATGTGGTTTTTTACATGCTGTATTTGACAAGAGAAGAAACTTTGGCTCAGAAAGCTGAAGTGACTTACTTGCCGCCTAAGGCCATATAATAAGAGGCACAGTTGAGGTTTAAACACAGGCCTGCCAGACTCCAAACTGGAACTCTTTTCAACATCCCACATGCTTTATCCCTTTGTCACTTTGACTCCTGGCTCAGGAACAGAAGAATTATACCAATCAGAAAATTTGTCATCTCCTTGAAACTTTATGAGTATTAACTTCTAAGATAGTTCAAAATGCTTTTCCTTCTATTCCTTCCCACCTATAGTATCTTCCCTTCTATATCCATGGAGAAACTAGAATGTGGAAACTCAAAAGTGTATCTGCAAGATGGGAGGTGGGATGGAGAAGTGACAATAAGGATACAGCTGGAGGCCCATTGTACCTTGCTGGTAAGATGACACAATAAAATAATAATGGTTAAAATTCATTGAGCTTTTACAGTGGTCAAGGACTTGGCTAAATGTTTTCCAGGCATTAGTTCATTGCAACAGCTTGATGAAGTAGGTACTGTCATCATGCCCTCATTATAGATGAGGAAACTGAGGCTTGACCAGATTAAATTACTTGCTCAGATCAGCCAAGAATTAGGTGAAGCTGGGATGTTTTGTACAAAGATCTTTGTTCTGGGCATCAGGAAGTTTCTGTGATTATTGCTGCTAGTTTACTTTACGGTTTAACACAAGTGGCCACCCCTTTTCCTGCTTCAGTATCCCAATCTGTAAACTGTTTCCTTCCGTGACTTCTGAGACTCTGAGGTCACTGGGGGTAGAATTTGGAATTTGGAGAGGAGGTCAAGCATGGATAGGACTGGAAGAGAACACAAAATGTATTTGCTCAAGACACTGGCCTCAGCTGCACCTCCATATGTATGCCTTTGCCCTGCTTCACCCCTTCCCACTTATTCTCCTGCTCACAGAACCGATTCTCTTCCTTTCCCCAGTTGCAGATCTAAGTTAAGTCCCCTAGGAACTTGACACACTCAGAAAACGAAGGAAAACCCAAGGGAATGCTACTTTTGGGACCACCACCTGAGCTTTTCTGGGCTTCTGCCATCTGTCACAGTTTAAGAGTCAGAGAGCTACCCATGACAGCTAGAGGTTATGTCAAAGAAGCAGTATTCTGGTAAGGCTCTGTGTTTACCATGAGGGTTTGGTTACTTCCTCTGGTGTCTAAGTTAGACTTCCCCAAGAATTAGTTAACATGGTTCTTGGGCTGACATCAGACTGCAGAGCATGGAGCCAATCAAATACCATGTACCCTGTAAAGAGTTTTTTTTGTTTGCTTTTTTTATTCAGGATATTATGGGGATACAAATATTTTGGTTATATGAAATGCATTTGCCTAGCTCAAGCCAGGGCCACAAGTGTATCCTTCCCCCATATAGTGCATGCCGTCTCCATTAGCTGTGGGTTTACTCACCTCACCCCCTTTGGCCCCCACCCCCTCATCCTCCCACCTGATTGGCACCCAGTGAGTATTACTACCGTGTGAGCACCTTAGTGTTGATCAATTAGTACCAATTTGATGGTTGAGTACATGTGGTGCTTATTCTTCCATTCTTGTCATGCTTCACTTTGAAGGATGGGCTCAAGCTCTAGCCAGGATAATATAAGAGGTGCCAGATCACCATTGTGTTTTGTTGTTGAGTAGTATTCCATGGTATACATTTACCACATTTTATTAATCCACTCATGGACTGATGGGCATTTGGGTTGTCCTGTAGAGTTTTCAGTTTACCAGTGGCAGCATTTCAGGTACAGGCTTGTTTCCCTGGGGCTCCTTAAGCCTTTTATTAATGCACCCTGAGACTCTCCCGTGTTTTGGCTCCTCAGGAAGCCTGGCAGTACTGTGCAAGGTATGGGATCAGGAGAGAAATATTTGGCAGCTTTGGGAATCTGTGTTTCCACTGGTAACATATGGCTTAAAAGAGCTATTTAAGAGTTCCCCGAGGCTGACCTCTCTGAAGCCCTAAGGAGTTCTGGTCTGGGCTTCAGGGAATCTGAGACCTAGACTATGCTCAGCCCCTAACTCCCTGTATGACTGTGGGCAGATACCTTCACCTCCCTGAGCCTCAGTTTCCTAAAACCTCTCCCAGCTCAAACACTCATGAAAGCTGAATAGTACCAGAAATTGTTCTGCTCAGGGTATTAATGGTTTGAGCAGAAATGAATAGGCTGGGTAAAGTGTGACCTTTCCAAGGAACATAAAATGTTTTCTCAATTAAATGCGCATTTCCTAAACCAGTTCCCAATTAGTAAAGCCAGTATGAGTCAGAATTGTGATAGGGCCACACTCTTACCTGTCCGTAGCAAAGCAGGAGTACAGTGCTCAGAACTGAGTGTCACACTTTAGAGGAGTACACACCAAGGCTGGAGCTATTTCAGGGCCATGACCAGGATGATGAGGGAACTCTGAACTATGCCACGTGAGGAAGAGAAGGGCCTGGGGAAGAATAACCAGAAGAAGACTTCCAAGAAGGTCTGGGGCCGTTTTTGGACTCCTGTGGGGAAGAGGGTGTATTAGTCATTTTCTGTTGCCTATAAGAGAATACCAGAAACTGGGTAATATATAAAGAAAAGAAAGTTATTTCTTAGTTACAGAGACTGAGAAGTCCAAGGTCGAGGGGCTACATCTGGTGAGAGCTTTCCAGCTGGGGGGTACCCTGCAAAATCCCAACGCAGAGCATGGCACAACATGGTGAGACCTGCTTGCTCAGGTCTCTCTTCCTTTTCTCATAAAGCTACCAGTTCTATTCCCATAATAACCCATTAATCCATGAATGGATGAACCCATTCATAAGGACAGACCCCTCATGAGCCAATCACCTCTTAAAGGCCCCACCTTTCAATACTGCCACATTGGGTATTAAGTTTCCAACCATAGCAGAGGGGTCTTGTGGGGAAAAGGGGTGACTTCAAATCTGATTCAACAGCTATACTGCCATTCAGTAGATAGATACTACCAAGGGACAGATTTCACAGTACAAGTTTAGGAAAAATTTCAAAGTAAAACCTAAGTCTTTTGTGGAATGAGCAGATTACAGAATGGTAAACCAGAAGACAAGGATCTGCATTCCAGCGGGAGGAGGGTTTGGAGAAAAGCCTGGGTCTGTCTAAGGGCATGGTCCTTGCACTGATGTTTGACTTCTAGGGAGAAATACAACTGAATTTCTGTAAAGGTTTGGTGCACCAGGCAGCAATGGAGAGTATTGTAACAGAGTAAGTTATTTAAGTATGTATGTGCTTCCTGATGAGACTTCAATAAATACTCCTGAAATTTTGGGAAGATACAGCTAGAGGTCCTAAAATATTCCATAGGTATTACATTTTCTGTCAGCTCTCCAAAATTTCAATAATATAAACTTCTATGTTTAACTTACGGGTTTAATCTCCACATCTCAAATATCATTAATTCTTGAATAGAGCAAGGCATGGTACTTCACCGTTAGTACTAAAGTGCTCACCAAAACATATCAAAGAGAAAATTCTGAATAATTGTGTCTCAGTGGTATCCAGCATTGAAATGAAATATAATAATCTCTCAGGCCACTTAGGTAGTCCTTTCACCAGAAGCAGATATCACAGTATGTCCTTGTAGTTCTTATTTAGTGTGGCTACCATTAGTTTTATATCCAACACATAAAATTTATGTGTGGCCTTTTCAGCCCAGATAGATAGATCACCTGCTGTTATACTGAAGATCTGCTTGACTTCTATACAAGGCCTTCCTGGGAGATCCTAGAGACTTTAGTTGAGCTGTTCCACATGCGGGCCTATGTTTTGCCCATGTTCACATCAATTAAGCTCTAAGCAAGACAGAATGATCACAGAGTTTCCATAAAGAGAATATCCTAGGGAAGGACCACATCTTGTAGGTTCTAGGACTCAGGATACTGGGATAGCCTCATCACTCAGATGCCTAGAACATAGGACATGGTAAACGTGATAGCCTGAGAAAAGAAAACTGTTGAAACTGCTTTAGGCTGCAGTGACCAAATGTACAGTCACTGAATTTCAGGCCTATATTAGGAAGTGCAGGCTGCTATAAGAAATCAGACTAGGTGGCTTATAAACAACAGAAATTTATTTCTCACAGTTCTGGAGGCTGGAAGTCAAAGATCAGGGTGTCAGCATGGTCAGGTTCTGGCAGGGACCCTCTTCCAGGATGCAGACTGCCAACTTCTGGTTGTATACTCAAATGGTAGAGAGAGATATACCTATTAATAGCTCTCTGGCCTCTTCTTATAAAGATAATAATCTCATTCATGAGGGAGCCACCCTCATGACCTAATTACCTCCCAAAGACCCCACCTTCAAATACCAAAACACAATTGGGATTAAGTTTCACCATGAAGTATGGCAGAATACATTTAATCCATAACAAAGCCTCACTGAAGTATTGCTCCTTAGTCACTTAGAAAATCTTTGATTTCACTTTTTATGAGAACTGGGTAGTTACTTAGAATGTTATGGGGAGATATATATTAGCTCTTGCCCAGAGCTGTGGTGTGGGATGCTTAACTCTATGAAAAAGGAGAACTTAGAATGGAAGCCAGATGCCCCAATACTCCAAGTCCATGAGCTATGTATCTCTGAAGATAACAGTGCAAAAGATGAAAGGGTCATCCCAACACAGAGTCAAAGTGAAATTCACACCGTATCTATGACCCAGGAGACAAGCAGCTAAGTCCTACAACTAGCATGAGAGTAGGCCAGAGATAAGCTGATCCTAGCTTTGCATTAGGTGAATACTCAGGCTTGTCCTGAACAGCAGAGCTTAAGGATACAAAATGGAAAGGAAACACACCTGAAGTGATTCAAAGCCAGCGAGTAATATAAAACTATTTATATTCACTTTCCACTAAACTGAGTAAAAGACATTTCCCAGGTAGTTCAAAGAAAGGTAGAGAAGCAAGCATTTTTAAGAGAAATTACCTCTGTGCTTCTGATATGGTAGTTGGTGCAAACTAGGACATGCTGCAGATAGAAACATGTACAAAGGCAAAGATTGGGAGGAACAGGTCATACTGGACAGACTGGAAGAAGGTGCTGAAGAAGTTTGGTAGATTTGCATGGGTAGAGAAAACGAGATGAATGGTCACAAGGATGATATTGCTGTTTTCTAAAAGGGACCCAGTAGATAGTATCACAGCTTCTTTTTCTGGCAGGCAATAATGGATGCGCCAGGATGGAAAATACCTGCAATCACCAAGCTAATAATCTCAACTGGAGCTAGTAACTGTATTTCTGTTCAGATACTGAGCTGTACAACAAGAATTTAGCATTGACCAGACAGATACACCAGCAATGCTAATGGTGGAAAGTGTACCAATATACATATTATTTGAAGATATGATTAGCAAATATGACAATAATGAAATTTTTGTAAACAATTTAAAATTACTTTTAGTTGACAATCACATATATTTACAGGGCACAATGTGAGGTACGATATATAAAAGGAACAATTAAATGAAGGAATCAGGCCGGGCGCGGTGGCTCACGCCTGTAATCCTAGCACTCTGGGAGGCCGAGGCGGGCGGATTGCTCAAGGTCAGGAGTTCGAAACTAGCCTGAACAAGAGCAAGACCCCGTCTCTACTATAAATAGAAAGAAATTAATTGGCCAACTAATATATATAGAAAAAATGAGCCGGGCATGGTGGTGCATGCCTGTAGTCCCCGCTGGGGAGGCTGAAGCAAGAGGATTGCTTGAGCCCAGGAGTTTGAGGTTGCTGTGAGCTAGGTTGATGCCACGGCACTCACTCTAGCCTAGGCAACAAAGTGAGACTCTGTCTCAAAAAAAAAAAAAAAAAAAAAAAAATGAAGGAATCAACATATACATCAATATGCAAACTTATCTTTTTGATACTGAGAACATTTAAAAACTACTTTTTGTGAATTTGAAATATACAGTACAGCAGAATTAACTACAGGCACCATGTTGTACATCATTTAAAGAATTATTCATCCTAACTGAAATTTTGTACCCTTTGCCCAATATTTTCCCTTTTACCAACCAATGACATTCACCTCAAGCTTCAGGTGACAACCATTCTACTCTCTACTTCAAGTCCAACTTTTCAAAATTCCAGATATATGTGAAATCATGAAGTATCTGTTTTGCTTATGCCTGTCTTACTTCAACTGTAATACACTCCTCCATATTTACTCATGCTGTTGTAAAGGACAAAACTTTCTCCGTTTTAATGAAGAATATTATATTGAATATATAAATACTACATATTGTTGATGCAATCATTCCCTGATGAACACTTAGGTGGCTTTCAAAGAAACGCTTCCATGAAATGTTGGCACGCAGGAGGGGTGAGCAGACTTGAAAGCCATCCCATGTTGCCAGGCTAGGCAAGAAAGAAAGAAAAAAAAATCTGTGGCTGTGGGCATGTATGATGTAGCCCAACCACCCCAGAAGGTTTCATTAAAAGGATAAGCTGATTCCAGTTTGACTAGGGCAGAGAGTGAGTAAAGAGGAGGGGGACAAAGTGTTGGTGGGTGAAGCCAGAGAGTTAGCCAGGGATTAAATCCTGTAGGGTCTTATCAGCCTAGGACTGACTGGGCTTTTACCCTGAGTGAGATCAGAAGCCAGCAGAGGGCTTTGAGCTGAGGGATTATATAGCTTACAGAATACATCGACACACAAAATTCAAGTTTCAAAACCCGAATATGGTGTGGAAATCAGGTTCAAATGAAAATGAGGATGTCTAATCAGATGACTGATTCTAATACAAAATGCTTGCCATAAGGTTCTATACACTGATTACCAGTTGCCCAAAGGTGTGGATCTAACTTTTCCACCTGCCACCAGGTAAAGACGGAAACTATGTCCTCCTCCGGGCAGGACTCACAGTATCCCTGAGATCAAAGCTGATGAACTGCTCAGAAGGGACAGCTATGCTTTTCCCTGAGATGAGTCTCTCCCATGAGTCACCCTGAGGAGGATATTGTGCAACGAGTGCACTTCCTCTTCAACATTGTCCTAACAGTAAACACGACAAGGAGATTCATGGAGATCTTTTTTTACAGCTCCCTCAGTGTGAGCACAGTCAAGCAAAAATAGTTTGTCTCCTCCGCCCACCCCACTACCACCATAAAATTGTTTGTGAACATTGTTCATTTATTTATGGGTATATTCATCTGTTTCCTTTGTGGGTGTGTTTGGCTGTCTGGCACGTTACTTATTGTTGGTGTTTGTTTCTTAGGACTGCTTCCCCCTTGCCTGTTATAGGTATCAGGAAATACTTTTCTTTGTCTTGAGATTTTGTCCTTCATGGTACACCTATAACGGGAAATTGAGAGGAACATAATTTTGTGGAGGACATTAACATCTCGCTCTCACTCTTCACTGGAAAAGAAAAAACAAGTGAAGACAGATGATCCTGGTGATATATATTTATTCATTCAACAGACATTTATGGAGCACCTGCTACAAGGCAGTCACTATCAAAATAAATTAGTGAACAAGGAGACACACATGCTAAAAA